CTAATTGCATTGGATTCAACGTTGATTGTGGAAGGCGGTGTGAGTTCGTAAGAACGTTGAGCACCCTCCCCTTACAATCCGATTTTAACGATGAGTTGTTCTCAAAATAATTGCTGCAATTATGTGAAAGTGTATTTTGATTGAGTCTGATTTTGTTTTCAGGTTGTAACTCCAAATTCGCAAAATTATGGATGTGAACCCAATCGCGGAATTCTTTCGCCTAGATCAACATGTCATCTCACAGGTAGTCATTTATGTGTTGAAGACTAAAGCGAGGAAAAAATTGTAACGTTTTTCTTTATTACCGTGCAAATATTGAGGGTGAACTACTAGAAATGCTTTGATCATTTTATAATTATTTATCGTTTTACTTGTGCATGTTTTGCAGTAACAATGCAAGCCTTGGAGGAGGCTCCTCGCAACATGCAATGTGAGAACAAGTTTCTGATTCAGAGTTTAGTCGTGAGTTCTGGTGCAACCATAGAAGACGTTGAAATACTGGTAATCATACCCACATTAATCAGCACAAGTTTGTCTAAGGCCGACATTGTTTCTATTTCTAGCCTCTCGGATATATTTTAAGGCCGGTTCGAGAATACTGATTAACCTCTTTTTGGTTGCTTGAAAGATGTGACAACATCCACAAGACTACAAGTACCATGCAAAGGTGTTGTCTAATAACTTGAGAAAATTGGACAAAGTTTTGGCCTCAAAACTAAGACTTCTCCAGAACTGTTCTGCGCAAGATCATTTCTTTAACCACGGTTCTCAGAAGCATTAGAAAACATGCCCTTATAGTTTATAGAACTCTTTATTTCAGAGACAAGCCAAATTAACTGAAGAATTGGCATGTTTGTTTTGTAGTTCGATGAGGAAGGACATCGTAGTCAAAGTGGCCTACTGAATGCGAAGTATATTTTCCCTCCCCAAGTTCAATCAGTAGTTCCCGAAGGAATTGTAAGTTCTTCTCTGGCTTCTGAAGCTTCTGTTTGCCGACAGTCAATATTTTGTGTGAAGGTCTATGCATTAACAGTTGATTTTTGTCAAGAAGTGAGAATGAAAATCAATATTCGAGGACATGTTTCTTATCAATTGCTGATCTAGTCGAAAGTCTCTCTCTTGTGTCACAAATATTTTCCTGGTAGCTGAAATAAACTGAACTAAATTGTTTTCATGATGGTGATTATTTACTTCTGTAACATTTTTCTTGTGTAGATAGCAGGGATAATCATTGTCATGCTTGCCATAATTTTCTTGTACATCGTGAAAAAGACGTTGCTGCTCATCGGGTATTCATCTTCAGTTTTAAAACTTTTACTTGCAACACTTCATAACGATAGATCATGTCCAATCAAATTGCACGCTTCATTTTCCTGGTTGTACTATCAATTCT